AAATAAAACCATTTAAACTGGGTGTTCGGATTTATATGTCACTTAGTATATATAGAAGCTGTTCAATTTGGACGCCTAGAGAGACTTAAATTCTACCTCGTAATAACGTTTCAACAATGATCGTGTTTTGTCCTTATTCAGTCTCGTCAGTAGCGTAGAAATCGGTATCCCTGTATCATGATAATGGGACGCTTTCGAATCAACGCTTATTGGATCTGTTTTGTTATTTTTGGATATGCTTGCTATCCTATAAATAATAAATGACAATAAGACTGTTAGTTGGAAGTCCACTGTCAGTGTAATATACTGGTTGTCAATTTAGAAGGAACCAGACGTCTAGAATACTAGGGTTTATGGTACACCTCAAGCGTCTGATCAGTTTTATCAAAGCTTTCTAAAAGAAATTTTCCATCTTTGCCACGTATTCATATTCAAATTCCCAACACGAAAATGCAATCCCTCACGCGCAGTACGTCATTCTTCGACTGTGGCGCCCTCTCAAGCGTGCACCTTACATACCAAACAGTTTTTACAGTTCCGTAGGATTTGCTATCGACTTCACGTTTGTGTTTCAATTTTCAGGAGTTCTCCACTTTTTCCTTTTTTTAATCAACATTGCGAGCAATATTATAGGAAACTAGTTTATTTGAGTGTGTAGAATTCAGAAACCTGTATTTGACATAAAAGTATTTCAAAGTGAGAATATATTTTGAAGATATAGATTTACTTACCTAGCCGTAAAGTGTTCACTTTGCCTGCCACTCTGAGCGACAGGAAAAGCTATGAAAATCAAGGAGGCCATAAAGACGTGTTACAATCTTAGGAACGCCTGACAATACGGCCCTCAATGGCTTGAGAGATACCGGTGTAAACCTGTCACGCTTTCGGTAAGGACAGCGAGAAAATAGGATTACATATGTACCTGATACATTTTGCGAAGTGGATGTTCTAACACCCTTTTCTCTGAGAAACTTCCTCAGCAAACTTGCTAAATAATTTAGGAAACGGCAAAGTGGAGTTTCGGAAGTTTAACGGCACAGAGCGAAGGCAAGTCAGGAAATTCCACTAAGCGATAAATAGATTCAGCTAACTGGATGTGTAGACTTTCATCTTCTAGGCCTGCATCGACGATGAGCCTTGTTCAGAGTTGGTACTTATAATGACTTTTAGGCCCGGTTTTTCAATCGCAGGTTAACTACGACCTTGGTCGTTATTTATGAAAAAGCGTTTTTCAATATCCTGTTTATAGTAAAACGGAAGTTAACTTTAACCAGAAGACCATCTATGAGTTAACTAGAAAGGCTGTAGTTAAATAGCAACACCTGACGTTTTTTGACATAAACTTTGACGTTTATTCAAAAAATCACAACAAATCCATATCAATCTATCGATTAATTTAGGCTATAAACATGTTTATGGATTACGACGTGAATGCGTATATAGCAGAGACGAAGACGCGAGAAGGCCAAAAATAACACTGATCAACAGCCAAACAATATCCTAAATAAAATCAACAAAATATTACTATTTTTAATGTGCTAAAACCGGAATGAAACTTATTTTTTCAGTATTAGTTCAAGTTTTAGAGATACGGTAATTATATGTGTTCCTGCTGTGACAGTGTTAATATACTGTAATTCACAAGAATGCACGTGCTACATTTTTATATTCGGCAAGGAAAGATGATGTAATCGGCATGATTGTGTTACGTTATACATACGTGTACATTATATTGTTTTATATTAGCCATTTTTTCCTCAGTTGGCTGACAGCGTTCATGCAAGATGTCTCGAAAGTGTGTAAACAATCCAGATCAGTTTTGTTACGTGTGTGGTGATGTGACTTTTGCGTCTCAGAGACGATCCATTACTCCACTAATAACAAAGGCATATCAGCTTTATTTCGGTTGTAAACTAGGTGGTCAAGACCAACAGTGGGCACCCCACATCTGCTGTAATACATGTGCTTCAAGTCTGAGGAGCTGATTAAATGGCAAAAAACGGTCTATGCGCTTTGCTGCCCCAATGGTTTGGAGAGAGCCTACAAATCATATTAATGATTGTTACTTTTGCATGGTACCTTGTGTTGGACAAGCCACAGGTATGTCCAAGAAAAAAAAATCGGTTATTAACTACCCAAACATACCATCTGCGATGAGACCTGTGCCTCACAGTGACGAAAATCCTATTCCAAAACCCCCAGAATCCTACACTTGCGAATTAGAAAACGAATCAGATCATGGCGATCGAGTGATTCGTCAGGAAGAAGATATGCCATCAACGTCAAGAGATCCTGATTTTATACCGAGCAGGTCATGCCACCAACCGCACAAAATAACAGTCAGAATTAAATGATCTTGTAAGAGATTTAGAACTTCCAAAATGTAAGGCAGAGTTACTTGAATCAAGACTGCAGCAGTGGAACTTGTTAGAAGACGATGTTTCGGTATGTGTTTTTCGTAAACGCCACAAAGACAGAACCATTTTTCAATATGGAGAATAACTTGGTTTTCTGCAGTAACATTAACGACTTACTGGCGGCTTTAAATATAAACTATAGATAACCCAGAAGAATGGAGATTGTTTATAGACAATTCAACATTGAGTTTAATGGCAGTGTTATTGCATATTGGAAATATTTTACCATCTCTTCCTGTAGGGTATGCAGTTCACATGAAAGAATCATATGACAATATGAAGTACCTATTAACATGCATAAAATACGATGAGCACCAATGGCATATTTGTGGCGATTTGAAACTTGTTGCACTTTTACTTGGGCTGCAGCTAGGCTACACAAAGTTTTGCTATTTTTTGTGTGAATGGGATAGTCGGGCAAAGGCACTTCATTACACCAGACAAAACTGGCCTGTTCGTCAATTCCTAGAGCCAGGTCAAAAAAATGTACAGCATATGCCATTAGTAGATTCGAAAAAAAACCACCACTGCATATCAAGTTGGGCCTAATGAAAAACTTTGTCAAGGCATTAGATAGAGATGGGTCAGCTTTTCAATACCTGCGTCAGAAATTTCCAAGACTAAGTGAGGCAAAGGTTAAAGAAGGTATTTTTGTTGGGCCACAGATTCGAAATATTTTGAAAGATACACAGTTTGAAAACACTTTAACAGGTATTGAAAAAACTGCTTGGAATGATTTCCGTCTGGTGGTCACTAATTTCTTGGGAAATAGAAAAGCTGACAACTATAAAACCCTTGTCAAAAATATGCTGTCATCGTATCAAAAGATGGGCTGTAATATGTCTCTTAAGATACATTCCCTACACTCACACCTGGACTTTTTTCCTGACAATTGCGGAGCCGTAAGTGATGGGCACGGCGAACGTTTTCATCAGGATATTTCAACAATGGAAAAAGGTACCAGGGAAAGTGGAATCCTTCCATGCTTGCAGACTACTGTTGGACTCTTGGTAGAGATGCTCCAGAAACGATCCATAAAAGAACAGCAAAAAGACAGCGCATATAGTGATTCTTATAAGTATATGAATCTTGTTACTTTTTTTAATATATCCTTAAAAATAAAAAGTTTTTTTTCTAAACCGCAACTAATTTTTTTATTTCATTGTCATTTTTGGATTCAGCGCCCCAAAATTAACAAAGAAGTGCACTTTTCCCACAAGATACAATTAAAAAACTAAAATTTGTTGTCCAGTTAATCCGCCATTGATGAATTTGATGACCTCGATTTCCTTGCAAGATTTCGTCTTACAAAAAGGACTGTAGAAACTCTCCTGGACGAAGTCTATGAAGATTTAGTTTGTCCCACAAGCAGGTAGATGTATATATTATTGTTTATTTACATATTTTTACATGACTTTGTCATTCCAGGAATAACTGCTTAATGCCCCACAGCAGCTGTTGTTAGCTCTGCGCAAAAGTTTTTTAACTGTTGCTGGACATTTTGCTGGGGTTTCCAAATCAACTGCATCCAAGACAGTCCGAAGGTTCTTAAAGTACTAACAAGTAAAAGAAGTAATTACATAAAAATGCCGGACACTCTTGAGGCTCTTGCCAGGGCAAAGCAGTCCTTTTATAAATAACATAGCTAGGTTTCCACGATGCATAGGAGCAATTGACTGCACGCATATAAAAATTGTTTCTCCCGGCGGAAGCCATGCAGAAGCTCTTCAGAAATCGAAAGCAGTTTTTTTCACTGAATTGTTTCTGACGCAGATTCATACATTTTCGGAAATTCTCAGCTCTGCAGACAATTTGAATCAGGTCACTTTGGAAACTTTTTGTTGGCTGGTGATAAAGGTTATCCTACTAAACGCCATTTGATGACACCATTAAATACAACTACAACTCCTGCTGAAGAATTATACAATGAATCTATCATTCGTAGTCGCAATGTTGTAGAGAGAAGCTATGGAGTTTGGAAAAGTAGATTTCCATGTCTCAGAGTTCATCTAGATACAGCTCAAGCAGTTATTCTAGGAACAGCAGTGCTACATAATACTGCTTGTCCTAATAATGAAGCTATGCCCCCTATTAGTCCTGAACAGGAAAATGCTATTAACATCGTTCATGTAGATAATGTGAACACAGATGCTGTAAATATTAGGTTGCCACAAAATGCAATCAACAATGTTAGAACTTACCTTATTAGTAATTATTTTGCAAATTTGTAAACCGATTCAATACATTCACTGATGCTCAGTGAATGACTCGATACTAGATGAAAGTTGTTTACTATAAGATCTGTGATAATCCATGGCAAGTGGATAAGAGCCGTGGCCAAAATTGTTGTTGCCCAAAAAGGGGCACACGGCATTTGAAAATAGATGTCGCAAGCCTCAAAATGGGCACTCAGTCGATCTTTTTGGACACCTAAAGTTTTCGCCAAAGCTCACATCTACTTGACATATGAATTATCCCGTATTTATTGTAACTACAGAATGAAAATAAACATGATTTTCTGAAAACAGTTTATTATCAGACTAACATATTATCCTCAAAAATGCGAAATACAAAAAAAAATGAGTGAAAGTGAAAATGTTCCAGAAATTAACAAAATAAATCCTTTGTTTTCTTTTTATCCAATGCATTGATCTGTAAATCTAACAGCTGAACCTTTTTTTTATATAATTCCATTTTTTTATTGTGTTCTTCGATGCATTTTTCTTTTCGTAGTTTCAAAAACTTCATCCTTCCTTTCATTAGTAGATAGTTAACAGAAATATATCTTTTATTTTGTACCGTTTGCGTACATGATAGCTTTGTAGTTTTGGGCCTCTTCAGTTGTTGGGGAGTATAGGAGCTCCATTTCCCATTATTAAAGACCACTTTACTGTCATCACAGTTATTTGCATCAGGAACTAAAAAAATGAATTGAAAAAATGCTTCAATAAACAGCAATGAGACTTACCATTTTCAGTAACCACCTCTTCTTGGTCACTACAGTCATCATCATAATTGTTTGTCGAACCTTCTAATTGTGGTCCCATTATTTCTTGTCTTGATTATATTGCTTTTGTTTGTAGCAAATTGTTTTTTTGTTTTTTTCTTTAAATTGAAATATTTATCTCGTAGAGTTTTTGCCTCTCGGTAGCACCCTGTTAGGGCTTGGAAATCTTGTTCGTTGCTCTGCCATACTGAACTTCTCTGTTTCCACGTAACTGTGCCACTTGTCTTGCCTCTATTAGGTACATCTTTATTTTTTGCTCACCAATGAAGTTAGCATCATTTCCTCATTCTTCGAGAAATTTTGATCTCTTTCTCCATGCTAGAAAACAGTTTTTGAGAAATTTTAGCAACAAGAATAGAGGTATTGTGTATCCCCTTTATTTTTGGATTGTAGATTACAGGAGTGATGTTAAAAAAGGTGGAAAATACGATATTCAGCAGATATTTACAACTTAATCGTTTTTTGACCTTAGTATGGTTCATTAGAGATTGCATTCATATACTAGCGAAACCGCTGGCTTCCATATTCAACCTAATTCTAAAATCAGAGACATATCCAAGTATCTGGAAGACTCCTAAAATATGTCCTATTCACAAAAGTGGAGATATCTCTGATATTTCCAACTATCGCCAAATAGCAATCCTGTGCAATTTCAGCAAGTTGTTTGAGATCATCGCTTATGAAACGGTTTACTGCTCGGTCATGGGTGCAGTCTCTATTAATCAGAATGGGTTTATGAGAGGCAGATCTACGGTCACCAACTTGGCTCTAATTACTCAATACATTTCTGAAGTACTGGACGGTCAGGGACAAGTTGATGTCATCTACACAGATATTCAGAAGGCGTTTGATCAAGTTGATCATTATGCACTTCTGGATAAGCTTAAAACAGTGGGTATGTCTGATGCAATGCTGTCGCTCATGAATTCATATTTGAGGGATAGAAGGTTATTTGTCGAATATGGTGGTCATAGGTCGAGTTACTATCGGGCCACGTCTGGGGTACCTCAAGCGTCAAATCTAGGTCCATTATTGTTTTTAATATTTATTAATGACTTGTCTTTTGAACTGAAGTGTTTCAATTTGTTTTTCGCTGATGACCTTAAAATGCACGTCAGTCAAGACAGTCGAGGATTGCGTCATGTTGCAAGATGACTTAGCTCTAATTTCGTCATGGCGTTCACGAAACTGTCTCAGTCTGAATGTTTCGAAATGTAAAATTTTGACTTATACAAGAAAAGTGAACTAATTAATTTATGATAACTATAACATCAATGGTCAGGTTATAGACAGATGCACCTCTTATAGAGACCTTGGAGTCATTTTTGATACCAAGCTAACGTTTACTGAGCATATACTCAATATCTCGTCGGCTGCCACTCGACTATTTGGTTTCTGTATCAGAAACTGGAAGGGTTTCTCCAATGTTGATACATTAATGGCTTTATTTTTTACTTTTGTCAGGAGCAAGTTGGAGTATGCGACTCTGATCTGGTCTCCTATCTACCAAAATTCTGTCGTGATCCTTGAGGCCATTCAACGTAAAGCGTTAAAGTATTTTCACCTTAAATGCACAGGTTCTTATCCAGAAAGAGGTTGTGACCATCGTGCCCTATTAGAGTCTTTCAATTTGGATTCACTGTCAACAAGACGAAACATATTTGCTTTGTCGTTTTTGTATGGCCTCATTCACAATAAAATTTACTTGAAAAAATATGTTTCCGCATTCCAAGGCTAGGGAGTCGACAACAAATGTCATTCTATTGTCAAGCTGGCCGTACAAATGTTATGACAAAATCGCCAATTAATCTCATGTGCTGCGTCATGAACAGTGTTACTGAATCGTGTGATATTTACAGTGACAGTTGTGCATCGATTATTAACTGTTATAGATCATCCAATCTTATTTAGAATGTGTGATACTATAGATTTAAGTCCAAGAACCATGTCTCTTTAATTGTTATTTTTTTCAGCGTTTCCTGTAATTGGGTTTCACCTGTTGGAAATAAATAAATAAATAAATTAGACATTGCATTTGCAACCTTTTTTATCACCATTTATATAATGCCGTCTATAGGGTCTACTATTAAACATTTGTACGAGCAATGTTTGAAAAAACTTACCTTGCTTGACGAAGGTTTTATGTTTTATTCGTTTGTAATGAAATTTCCGGATTTCGATTTTGGCTATTTTAAGAAATTTTAATTCAATCGAAGTGTCAAGTATGACACGGGGCACAGATGACGAGCGCACAAAACGCATAGAACACGATATCTAAGAACCGCAGATACAGTGCTGTAACATAAATATATGTTGAACTTCTGGTAAGTTAACTGACGCTGTCAAAATACTTGAAAAACGCATTTGCAAGTAACTACAAGTTAACTTCCTGGCGATAGTTAACTAACCAAAAAGTTAACTTGAGATTGAAAAACCGGGCCTTAGACCATCGTGATTATACTCGTATAGCGTATGATAAGACTGTCAACCCGATGAAATTTAAATGGCCCGTGCCTTTTTTTACACCGAAGCAGTAGCGCAGTCAGAAGCCTAAATGCCAGCGGACCGCGGCTGCTATGAGGATCTCAAAGAAACATTGAAATTTTGAACTGCCTAGGGTTACATCCTAGAGACAAAGGAGCGATCTCTTCTGGATGTACAAAGTTCGGCACTGTTAGGATGGCAACTGAGAGTTAGGCGAGTCTGTCTGGCATTTGGGTCCAAAGGATCCCAACACATTACTCAGTCGCTAAGAAAGAAATATACAGGGTGTTCCTTAATGATATGCGAATATTTAAGGGTGTGGATCTGTATAATATGTGTGAAATTATACTTTCAGGATCAGGTAGCTTCAAGCTTCGATAAATTATGAAATTTTGCCAAAAGAAAATCATTTTAAAGGGTTTGGTCTATGAATGGGTACTCGATCATTAATAAAGAGAACTTCAAATTACTAGTATGTCATCAAAATAGTGAAAAAAACTGATTTTGGCACGTTATTACTCTGTATTTTTCTGTCATAGTCACGCAGTTTTTTCAGAACGATCAGCCTACCAGCGACTAAAACGAATAGCTTTGAAGCAAAACTGTTCTTCAGGTAATGTTAATCAAACAAACTGGAATCTCACGGTAAATAGAAGGAGTCCATTAGTCTAATAAGCTCAGGACGGATTTCCGACCGACAAGATTTATTACAAGAGAAATAACATAATTAGTGAGTGGCAGACTTAATTATGATAGGCACAGACGAGAAGGACTCTAACTTTGTTGGTGGTGGTGAACAAGTAGGAGCTCCTTGCTGTTGGCAGCACTGCTACGATAAAGTTACGTCTCACCATTCATAGGCAGAATGCTGCTTCCGTCTGTATTAATTATCTTACTGAGAGTTTTCTGTTAATTAACATAAAAAAAAGGTTGAGGAAAACTCAGTCTATGTGGAAGGTTAACTGCTGAAAACCGAATCGCGTTATTTTACTGATATACCTCAGCAATCTCTTGCTGAAGGCTGGCTTGTCTAACAACTTACTGTTAAGTGTTTCGAAGGTACGATGATGAGTATTTTTTATTATTAAACGTATTTACTGATACCATGATGCAACAAACATTAATTCATTTATTTATTTATTGAAATCCACCACCAACAGTGTTAACCAATTACTGGTGGCAAAACAACAATAGAAATAGTAAAAAAACATATAAAAATACAACGAAAACTAAAAACTAAATCATTTCACTGCAAACTCTCTAAATATTCGAAATACTTGTGTTGAACAAATCAAATGTACTCTGTAGACTATTATAACATGAACACATCGAGTACAAAGGTGAGTGCAACAGTAAGTTAGTTCGTGGGGTAGGTAGGTAAAAAGTGAGTGTATTGCGAGTAACAAATTTTGGAGCATTAAATTTTATCTGTGCTAGAAATGATGGACAATCATAACTGCTATGCACTACTTTATGCAGGAATATTAGCGAGTGAATCTTTCTTCTGTTATCAAGACTGATAAACTTGTGCTTACGTAACAGGTCTTCCTGTGGGACCCCAATGGGTGGGTACGTACCGTCAATTTTGAATGAAAGAAATTTCAGAAATTTCCGCTGAATCTTCTCCAGAGAGCCACAAGTTGTAACATAGCATGGATTCCATATTAGCCGTCCATATTCTAATTTAGATAGTATGAATGAATTATAAAGCATAATCATGGCATCTTTGTTACTTAATTCCTTTAAGTTACGTATTACAAATCCTAATAATCTGTTGACAGCATTAATAAGGTACTCAATATGAGGATTGAAGCTAAGTGACATGTCAAAAATCACACCCAGGTCCTTGCATTCTTGTACTCTCAGCAGAGAATGATTGCCAATTCTGTAGTCAAATGCAATAATATCTAGCTTTCTGGTGTAAGACATAATACTACATTTACTGTAGTTAATTGGAAGTCGATTTACAGCACACCATTTAACTATTTTGGCTAGGTCTTTTTGTAAGTGAGCACAGTCAGTGCTGCAGTCGACATTGGAAAAAATGTTCAGATCATCAGCATAGATTAAGCGGCTGCTGTCAATGTCGCTAACAATATCGTTTATGAACAGTATGAAAAGCAAAGGACCTAAGCAGGAGCCTTGAGGTACCCCTGAGGTTGGGAAGAATTCAATGGATTTGACACCCTCATATTCAACATATTGCTTTCTTCCTGATAGATATGACTTAAGAAAGGATAACAGCTTGGGGGTGAATCAAAAATAGCTCAGCTTCGTTAACAGAATACTGTGATCAAGTTTGTCAAATGCTTTACTGAAATCTGTATAAATTACATCCACCTGGCTATTAGCATCTAATGCAGAGGAGACTGACTGAGTAAAACAGGCTAGGTTAGTTATGGTTGATCTACCCTTCATAAAGCCATGCTGAGAAGTACTTATTTGGGAATGTGTATTGTGGTATAGGAAATTATGAAGCAAAGTTTCCAAGGCCTTGGAAAAGATACATACTAGGGTTATCGGTCTATAATTTTCAACCTGTAGTCTATCACCCTTCTTGAAAATGGGACGCACCTTTGATTCGCCCCAAATTTCAGGAAACGTGTCAGTCTTTAAACATAGGTTGAAGA